TTCGCGCATATACTCACGCTGCTTGCATGGAGCAGAAAGCATGAAAACGGTGCTACAGTATAATGTTGCCGTGGCCTTTGAATGTCATTCCAGTTTCCCCGCGGGGAACAAGTATTTTAATATGCGGGTGAATCGGGATTGCTTCCGCTTTTATGGCACTGGAAAAAGATCAAACGGAAAATGATGCCATTATTTTCCCTCTTGCAGAATGCGAGATGGCGGATTTCATGGACGAGACCCGGACACAAAGCATTCCGCTTGTCATCCTGCCTCTCGAAGGACAACTCATTCGCCCGACCTCTAGAATCGCTTTGGCAGGTAACTTGAACTGCACCTTTTTTATGACACGACATTGTTTTTTTTTGCACTAAAAAACAAAGAAAAAAAGCTTGCTGAAATGTGATTTCGAAAATTATTGAAGCAGTGAGTGGATTTTCCTGTTCCGAGAGGAGACTGACGATTTGCAGAGCTTCAATTTTATGTCCAGGGTTCGTCATGAATAATTTTGAAACATTATGATATTTCATAAAAATTTTGAACGAATTTGCCCGACCTCTAGAATCGCTTTGGCAGGTAACTTCAGCTTGATCGTTTTTATAACACAAGATTTTCTCTTGTTTTTTTTTGCACACATCTACAGAAAGCTTGCTGAAGTATGATTTTGGAATTGTTGAAGCATAGTGAGTGAATTTTCCTTTTCCGAGAGCAGACTGACGATTTGCAGGGTTTCAATTTCAACGTATGTCTAGGGTTAGTCATGAATAATTTTGAAATATTATGATACTGCATTTTTTTTAATTTGAAGGAATTCACCCGAACTCTAGAATTGCTTTAGCAGGTAACAAACTATCCAATTTTTATGACACAAGATTGTTTTGTGCACTCACAATCTCAAATACAAAAAAGCCTGCTGAATAAGGTGATTTCGAAAATTAATGAAGCAGTGAGTAAATTTTCGTGCTACGATGAGAGTGGTTATTAGTCGGTATGTTATTTCATCGTCTACGGTTAGTCATGAAATAATTATGAAATGTGATGATATCTTGCAAAAAATCAGGATTTGGAATTGTTACCTTTAAACTTTAAAAGATTTTAGCTTTTCTTCTAACTTTTCCTGGATGATCAGCTCTACCTTTGGCGACATGCTGAAGATTGCTCATAATTATTTCAAATTTATCAATTTACTTTTTCTATCGTACTGGCTCTGGTTCATTTGCATAAAAGCGACTTATTTTACGTTATTCCGTGGAATAGATTTACCATTAAGGAAAATGCAAGGAATAATCCCAAGGATAAACATATGCGAGACTAGTACGGTTTTCATAATTTATCCATGAACTGCGCAGAAAAAGGTTTTCCTGCTTTTAAAATTATTTTTTTTGGATTTATTTCTAAAATTAGATAAGGGCGTTCGAAACCTCTGGAAATTGATCATTGACTATTCTCTGGCGGAATTTTTTCCAACCAGTCTCTCAATATAGTCATTTATTTTTTTCGAAAGGTCGTAAAATTATACAAGTTAATCGTAAATTTTTGAATTCTAATCGTTGACCACAGAAAGATCCGGATATCAGATGACCAGAAGGTCGAAAATTTTTGAATTGATGGCATAATATAGACTATTTTCTCGAAAAATTCTTGAAAACCGAGCCTTCATCTGTCATCTATTTTCAAGTTACTAAATGCATTTACGAAACGTTTTCAAAAGGACAAACAATTCAATTACTAGAGAGGGTTCGAAACTTTTGAATTCAAATCATAATCTCTGCAGAGAAGTCATAAAATTTCATTCCAAGAAGGTTGAGAAATGTTTGATTCTAGGCACAGGCGATTTTTATTGAAATTCTGTCCATCAGTCCAGCTAGGGTTTCATTGGTCAACCATTTTGAAGTTGTGTTCAACAATTCTCCGAAAAAATCATTACGTTAGATGGCAAAAGATTCGAAACTTTTGAAATCTAGTGTTGACCACAAGGGTCATAAACTCATAATATTATATGAAGAGAGAGTAGGAAATTTTTAAAGTATACCTATCCGTTGACAAAAGAAAGGTAATAAAAATAGATTTCAAGAAGTGAGACAAATTTTGCGCTCTAGTCACAATAAACGACTCACTTTTGAAATTCTGTCCAGCCATTGTTTCATTAGCCATCAATTTTCGAGTTATTAACAAAATGTTTTCGAAAGGTCACGAAATAAGAAGAAAATTAGACGTTCGGACCCCTTTCAATTCCACTCATTGACTATATACAGTATTTTCCAGCGGAATTCTGTCCAATCAGGGATTCATTAATTATGCATGTTCAAATAGTATACACTTGCTCACCTAATTCCGGCTCAAGTTGTTTCATAATCTTTTTTTTCTTGTCGTTATTTTGACCTCTATGCCTGGATGTTGCAGATGTTCAGCCTGGCGGGAAAGTTGTGAAGGCGCCGGTGTGTGCTGTGACCGAGGCCCAGATTCTCAGCGGGTCTCACTGGTTCGCCCTCCTGGACCCGAGGAATTCCGAACCCCCTTTCCGACTTTACAGGGACCTCGACAATACCTTTTTACAGGTCAGGAAATTTTCCCTTTCCACGTACCTGAAGGAACTTGTTTTATTTTCAACATTAACCGGAAGAACTTTTGGAAGTGGGGCGGAGAAAGGAAGACTTTTATTCCACGAAAAATCATTAATAATTGGGACAAGCGCGGAAAAAAACTTGTGCTAGCGAAGCCTTCTTCCGATGATCTGAAGAAAAATGCTGGAAAAAAAGGGACAGAAACGAAACGAGAAGAATTTGGGCATTTACTCTATACTTCTCTCTGTCTAAATGATCGTCATTGTTGAAAAGTGTCCTCATTAAATGCTAGTTTTTTTTTTTCATTGTGACCTGGCATTGCGAAAGGATCGTGAACTTGCCTGGGACTGAGGTTTCCCAACTTTCAAATAACTGCTCTGAATTTCGAAAAGTGTTTCTCAATCACGCGGAAAACACAAAAAAATACCAGACGAATCGTCAGTTATATGAAATTAAAAACAGGAACTTTCCAGCATACATTTCTGAGAAATTATATCCCGGAGATGACTTTCGTTCAGCCATTTCATTCAAACAGTTTCTGCTTTTAATATTTGAAAAATATATTTATCATGCAATTGCAGAAGAATGACTAAATTTTTAAAAATTATAATCGAAGATGAAGGACCAAAATTGATGTTCATGAAATCGAATGCGAAAAAAAACGAAGGGTCCCGAAAACTTCATTCTGCTCTCCAGAATTTGTCGGTTTCTCTTAATCGTCATGGCTGCGGTGAATTACAGAGGAACATCGTGAAGAGAAAAATTAGTCAACTCGATCGAAAATATTATCATATACGTCTTAGCAAAGAAATTAGCTTTGAATGGCTTATTTTGGCGGCTGGAAAATCAATCAAAGGCGACTGGGACCAAGACAGAAATTCCTGGAGCATTATCAGCCATTTTTAGAAAGCAGAAATCATAAAAAGTCTTGCATGGGGAATATTCAAAGAATCCTGCATTTTTGATCAATAAAAATAATTTCACTCCAATTCAAATTTACCGAGCGCGACGCTCGCGAGCCTATCAAAAGAAATTACAGACATTCTCATGTTACTGTATGCGGATGCTTCAAGTCCAATTGCTTTCGAATAAAATTCGACAGTTTCTCAAATGATATTCCGGCTTTTTTCAAAAAAGGTGATCAATTTTTCGCGAATTTACATTTTCGTGTGCCAAATTTCAGGGGACGGAAAAAGGTACGAATCTAAATCATGAAAGGGAACACCGGCGATCTTCCGATTCTGCGCTGATGGCGTTGCAAATTTATGATTACATTCATCCTCTTTTCCGTTTTATTTTCCCCATTTGTAGTTACAGTACAGTATATATATATTTATACCTCTGCTGTTTTCTCACATTTTCTATGCTGCAATCAACTCAAAAATCCCATTCTCACGTTCGCTCTGTGTAAACCAGGTCTGAGTCTTTGAGATTGACTGGTATCTGCTGATGAATGCTGATCGTCTTTCGTGTGTAACCTTAATTTTAGTTTAAAATGAGAAAAAAAGGAAGAGGAGAAAAGGAGAATTCTTCAAGCACGCCGACCTCTCGTTTTCAAGTGATGAAAGCAGATATTTTTTGCATGTCGGGAAAGTTCTGAGTCTAGCCGGAAGTACTTCATCAGTGCCGTCTACGTTTTCCTTTCGCGTCATCCCACGGGAAATAAATTTTACAAAAACTTCTGAAAATTACGGAGACGAAACATCCTGAACTTTAAAAAAATAAATGTCGCACGGCGAACTTCTCGATAAATATTCAAATTGGACGAGTTTCCTGGATTCCAGCTACTACCGCTGGAAAGTTTTTGCGCCTCGATATGTGCTTACAAATTGCACAAGAATTATTCATGATTTCGTGGACGCGAAGAACACGTCATTTAAAACTTTAAATTAAACTTCGCAAGCAATTCCGATGCTGTCGGAAAATTGTTTCACAAAGTAAGCAAGTTGCTTGAAACATGGTATAGCGACATTTATATAATTCAGAAAGTTTCCAAATACTTTATTCAAGAGCTTCAGTTCATCAGCAGTGGCGAAAGTTGAAAATTACTGTACATCCATTTCCCCTCTTAATAAGAAACTAAATTGTAGCTCTCTTTGTTGAGCCTTGCTGTCATTTGAAGCCAAACAAATTCAATGCTCTTGGAAAATTGTTTTTAAAAAATAAGCACTTTTGGAAACAAATTCATGATATTTCTGAAATTCCAAAAATGTTCAAGTAATTCATTCAAGATAATCAGCTGTATTACGTACAGTGGCTCAATTCAAAATTGCGTCATTCATTTCCTTTCTATATAAAAAAAAAACATTTTAGCTCCTGATTAAGTCTCACTGTCATTTTAAGCCGCTCGGAACTTGGACAACCATCTTTTTCCCATCTGCAAACATTTTAAAAGACGGATTTCCCCCTGAATGGTTCTTAGTTTAAACTTCTTGATGATCTAACGAGAGAAAATATTTTTTTTATGATCGGGAACGCAAAAGAAGCATTTCGTCCGATCGCTCCGCGTCACGCGCTTTCTCCGGAAAGTCTCGCAACATTTCCGATCAATGAACAGCCATCAAAGTGAAGGATATACAGAGTCTAAGAACAAAAATTTACGGTTTCCGAACACGTTTTCCGCGGCATATTTTTTTTTCTATTTTATTTCTTACTCAATTTCGGTCAGCCAGCGGATAAACGTGGAAAACCCCCCCCCCCCACCGGCAGAGAAGAAATCCGAGAAAGCCAAAAGGACTCTCGGCCGTTGATTCATTAGCGGAAATCGCACAGTCGCCGTTTTCTTCCGCACGATTGCAACTGTGTCGAAACCAGGCCGACGAAAATCACACTGGCGAAACGAGGCAAAAGGGATACGCAGGAAATCAAAGAGGGTTCTTTCACAAGTATCCACAGATTTTCTGCTATATGTCAGATGAAATCCGTTGGGTTGTACAGTACAGTTGTTCAACCTCGACAACTCGAGCCTCTAAGTTAGTCGAAACCTCCTCAAGTGGATTTTTTTTTGCTGGTCCCTTGACGTTCGACTTCGAGAGGTTTGGCTGTATTACATGTGTTTTTTTTTTTACCGCATATGAGACATGATTCTTGGGAAATATGCGAATAACTCATTCTGCGAGGCATTTCTTTTCTAAGGGACGAAACCAGGTCGAAAAAAAAATCACAGTAGCAAAACGAGATGAAAGAGACTCATGAAAACAAAAGGGTTCTTTCACAAGTGCCCACGCTTTTCTCCTTTGCTACGTCAGATTAATCCATTGGGTTGAATTACACGTGTTCTTATGGAAGATAATTTTCTTGGGAACAATTCAAATCATTTAAGGCATGCATAAAACGGGAGAAAACCAGGCAGACAAATATCACACTGGCTGAACAAGGCAAAACGGGTATTCAAGAAAACAGTAGGGTCCTTTCTCCGGGATCCACATATTTTCTGCTATGCCAAATAAATGCTTTGGCTTGTATAACATGTTTTTGGGCATTAAGAGAGCCCAACAAAAGAACAACGATTAAGGCACATTAATAAAAATGAAATACGGTCAGGTTTGGACATGAGTCAACACTCTTCAAACCTCAAAATATGTTTTAGCATGTGTTTTGGAGAAATTTTTGTTTTTACTTAAAGGGTGGATTAATGCAATCATATTGAATTAAAAAAAAATCGATACCACATCAACTTAAAATAAATGCGCCTGAGTTTTTGGGTACTAATGGAACCCATTACAAGAACAGATGATGAAGGCACAAGCATATACAAGTGGTACCTTGCAATTCAACTAACCGGCAATTCATTGGTCAAATTTGCAGGGACGTTGACTTGCAAATCAACTCTTGCCCTGAAATTTGACCTGCTTTGGCCACTTTTTTTCATTTTTTAACTTATATTTTTAAATGTCATGGATTGTCTTGCAATTTGACCAATTTGAAATTCAACCGTAGTCCAGCAATGGATTAGGGTTGAATTGCAAGTTACCACCTTTTTTCAAGTGGACAACTTGTTCCTACTTCTTTTTTTTCAGATCGATTTATTGTGTAATTTTATGGCAAAGAAATGACACAATTCACAAGGAATACTGAAGGCACTGTTGCACAAGTGAGAAAAAGAAATTTGCGCACAAATACAAAATGAGTCAAGACACAACAGAAGGAATAAACAGAAAGTAGTGATTCTTCCCAATGAAGGTTTTGTGTAGAGTGCTTTTTACCACGTTTTTATGAACTCACTTTCTTGTCTGTCTGTCTGTTTGTCCAGATCAAATTTTGAAACTCTTTTAAGGTTATTTTTTGCTTTTTGAAAACGTGGTTTTTTTAGATTAATATTTTAATCTACTATAATTATTAATTTAAATTAAAGTTTGAAGAGGTGGAAAAACCTTGGCTGGGTTTTTCTGGATGCATTCTCTCCTTAACAACACAGGCAATCTCATGAGAGAGAAAATTATTTGGAAATACTGTATTCAGAAGCTTCTGAATGATTCAATCTGGTTTGAAGGAATTTTTTTCAGATACTTGGGTACCGATGCCTTAAAAAATAATTGCTTTTTTTTAGCTATACCCGGAAAGCTATTGAGCCAACCCTTGTTGGTGAGGAAGGAAAAATAAATGGGATGGAGTCGTCGGACGAGAGAACTGTTGAAGTATCCCTTCTGAGAAAGAATCGAATACAGCAACAAAAGACGAGAGATTTCCTCTTTCGAAAAAAAAAAGAGGCGTTTGAATCGGGTTTTCTGTGTGCGGATCATTTTCTTTCCATGTGCTTGCGGTTCGCGATCATTGGCCCAATTTGCACAAGATTTGTCTCGTGGGATGAGACGATTCTTTTTCCGCTTCACAATGACACACGTTTCGGATTCTGTCGGCTTTTCTCGAGAGTCTTATTGCGCCGGAAATAGAACACATCCGTTCTCAGCTCTGCACTTTTTTTTTTCTTAGCGACTTCGTTTCTGTGTAAGCTGCAAATTCCAAAATTACGGTGTGGCCTCGAAAAATAAACTACAGTGGAGAAAAAACTCGTTACAGCGAAGCTGTTGGGACCAGGAGAAAAAAACTTCACTATAGCGATGAATTCGTTATAAAGTCATTTGAAGAATGTTGTCTCTATTGGACAGGGCGACCCGAAAAACGACTTTTCGCAACGAGTAAATCGTTATAACGAGATCCTACTGCACTCTTTTTCGGAAGTATTCGGTTTGTGTACAGCAGTCGTGTCTCATGCAACAAACAATTCGTTTTTTTTTTTTTTTTTGCAGCTGACCGAATGTATCTAAAAATAATAATTCATTCTACTGTATATACCACGCAATGAGTTTATTGTAAGGATCGCGTTTTCTTATTGAGCCACTGAAACATGAGTTAATTATCTTTTTTTGTTTGTACTGGAACAAACTGCATTTCTTTGTTTACGTTTTCTGGCGAATTTTTGGCAAGCGTGAGTTCGTTATATGGGACGAGTTTTCCGATGATAACTTACTGAATTTCATGTGATTTATAAGTTTTGTGATCGTTGTGATGGATTTTCCCAGGTTTCTTTATTAATGCTCATTTTGTTTTATCATAACATGCATAATAAGCACAAGTATGGGTGATGCCTCGTAATTCAACCTCCTGAAATTTGACGGTCAAATTTGCAGGAAAATTGAGTTGCATTTTGACCCCTGCCCCAGAATTTGACCTGCTTTGGCCCCTTTTTTTCGTTTTTGGGCTTATATTTCTCAATTTTTCTAAGTGTCTTGCAATTCGACCACTCCACAATTCAACCCTTTTCCAGCAATGGATTAAGGTCAAATTGCAAGGTACCACCTGTATTGTAACGTGCATCTCAACATATATAGTGATCCTCTCGTTTTGAGAAATATTTTTGAAATTAACTACGTTTTAGCTCATTTTGAGAATTTTCTGCGGTGCATTACAGCATTGCTCCGAAAATGCTTCAAAATTTGCATGAAAATTTCAATTGATTGTCTGAAACTGTGGGGATCATCCATTCCAAATGATTTTCGTATGACAACAACCAAAAGGTCAACTTCCACATTACATTCCTTCAGCAAACATGTTTGGATTATAGTTCTCATCCGACAAAGCACACAAGACACACTATTCCAAAAAAAGATTCTCCCTCTTGAATCGTCCTTCAAGTTTTTTTCGTTTTTATTTCAGCTGTCGATTATTGGTCGAATATTAAATATGCACGAATCGTCACTCGTAAGAAAAGAATTGATTTTATGATTTTTTAACTTCCTTGAAAAATCTTTTAATGCTTGAAAAAACGCTGTAGACGTCATGTTCACCAGCACTGATCGCGAGAATTTCAGACAGATGTCGTTAACATCGGCACAAAGCCATATGCACAGTACATGTAGTGTATTCTTTAAATCGAATCAAACCCCCGCATTAAAAAAAAAAAGGGCTCTTTAAGCATTGTACTATATATACTACAAGTGTGTTGGAGAGAAAATCAAAGAGGAAGCCAATGAAGGTTTCCTTGCACATCAGCTGACAATGTGAGGAATAAATCCTCAACAAATAAAGATTGAAATTAACTTTAAAAGAATAAGTTGATGTAAGGAAATAAAACACAAGAATTTGGTCGGGCTGCGACCGGGGTGAAATTCACCCTATTATTAAGTTGGTATAATTCAAGATGTTCACCAGTACAAAAAGAATGTTTTGATTCTTGCGAGAATTGACCGCAGAACAACACACACAAATTGCTCAAATCGGAGTGAGTGAATTTTGCCAATCTGGGAAAACAGGAAAACAGTCCTTCAAGGATGGAAAACAGCAACAGGATTTGGCAGTAAAAAGCAGCCTTGAAGGCTTTGATCAGAAACATGAGAATCAAGGTCTTCTGAGGTTCTCACAGAGATGAAAATAGAGGATGAATTTTGCTGCGAATTTGGGTTCTCTGATTTTGCTGTAAAAAACTGAACAAACATTATTTCAAAACTAGGAACACATATTCAAGGTGACCCCTTGAATATGTGTTCTCAGAATAAAAAGGCTGATTTCCTATGTTTTTATTTATTTTGTGAGAAATTGAGCTCACACTAAATATACTTGAGTAACATTTTCCCTTGCATAAGATGAGCATCATGATTTTGTGGCTTAAAACTGTGATAAAATCCTATACCTTGAATAAGAAGCGCGCCCTCATTTTATTGACTAAAACCCAGTAATTTGTCGAAGATACCCGAATTCAAATTTAAAACAAATTCAACCAGATTTAATTTTAGTTTTAATCCCCATAAGCTTTAAAAGAGACAAAGCTTGAGTTCAATAATCATGATTGGTTCCTTTCCAACTGGTTCCTCATTTTTTTCCTGTCAGAAGTAAAAGAAAACGTAGATGAGAATACTGAAAAATCGTATTGGGTTTGAAATATTGGTCCCAGATTCGAATTGCTTCACAATTTAATGAGGCAAAAAAAACCCTTCCCATACTAACATGACTGTTTTCCTTTTAGCAAACCTTTACCGTTTGTCTATTAAGAACATGGTCTTAAGACAAAGCATTAGCCAATTCCCAATCGCTTCTCTAAGGTATTGAATTGCCTTTTTCGTATGCTATATTAGATTTATCTGGCAGAACAAAAATGCTTTTTTCCGATTACGATAAATGTTTTGGAAAGTACATTTTTTGCACACGATTTATTGGTTCAAAGAAATTTCATAGGAATAATTCATTTCCCCAATTATATTAGATTTATCTGGCAGAACAAAAATGCTTTTTTCCGATTACGATAAATGTTTTGGAAAGTACATTTTTTGCACACGATTTATTGGTTCAAAGAAATTTCATAGGAATAATTCATTTCCCCAATCGCCGTCAACGAAGATAACGCAATCTAGCGACAATTTTAAATCATGCTGGGGACATTTTTCGCCGATTTTGTTTCTCGCAAATTTCTGTTTCCTTATCCGTGAAGATTGTGACGTCAATTTCCACTGTGTGCATGTTGATTGCAGGAAAAATCCAATAAAAACTGAAAAATTATAGAAAATGATTTTTTTTAAAGTTTGTACTCTTCCCTCTTAAAACCACGAAATTCAAAACAGAAGGAAGAAAGACTTAAGAACCCGGGTTGAAGACTACTTTGCAATTCAAGGCTGCAGAAAAATTAGATACTTCAGTGCTTGGTGCTTTTCTGTCGATATCTGGGATTATTTTCCGCAATTTGAATTTTTTGGAGGTTATATGAAATACTGTATTCCTTTTTTTTTACTTTATATTGAAAAATTGACTGACGGTTTTGCTAGAAAATAAAACGACTTTTTAGGAATTTTTTATGATTTTCTGCGCGATTTGCGTCGGGGAGAAGTTTTGCATAAGTTGGAGAGATGCAATTTTCAAATTTCCCGGCTCAAGAGTGATGGATGTAAAATGAAAATTCTTGGTATGATAATTTGGGATTCATACTTTATCATATGACGGAGTAAATTGCGCTGAGAATAAATAATAAGAACCATTTGAAATACTGTACTGTACAGTACATTCAAATATATTTCTCAGATTCTTTATTGGTCCCAATTCACAATTCCCTCATCGAATCAATGGTGAAGGAAAGTATTCAATAATTCAGGCCACATCAAACAAAGATTATCATTCCTGTACTTGGCATTTAATTTTGTTTCCAAAAATTACAACGAAGCCATTATCATGATTATGCATATTTTGATTGGTATGTATACGTAACAATGACTTCTTTTTCGTTTGGTCACCTGAAAATTCATTTTCATACGTGCTATTGAAACCTTTTTGTGCAAATTTCTGGACATGAAACCGAGTCACGGTGGTTTTATTTTGAGTTCGATCAACTTTAGAGGACGTAACTTTCCTCAAAAATCTGTCGAAATCTTGCGAACTTCTTACAATAATTAAGATGCTTGCGCAATGAATGCGCTAATGAGCATCGTCAAGAGACACCCGACTTTCATGTCGTTGAAAAAATTTTAATTTTCGCATAAGCTCAATAACTTTTTATATACTTGTTCCTCATTTTATTTTTATTTTTTTCAGTGGTTGGGACCACCTTCATTGAGACCATCTGTCGAAGGAAAGTTGGTGAGAGTGTCGTTGATGTGTCGGGATGAGGCGATAACTGACGCTGCTGACGACCCTGGCCAAGACAATGGCATTTTCACGCCGTGTGTCGCGTTCCGGGTCTCAGGATCCATGGGTATGTTCCTTTGAAATTACCAACCCTTTTGTCGATTGTGAGAATTTTCGTGAGTCGGTTTTTTAGAACTGAGATTCTTCCTCAAAGAAAGTCTGTAGCTGTAAAAAAAATATACGTAAGTTAATTGCAGTGGTACAGACTTCTAGACGTAACATTTTAGGTTTCGGCATCAAGTAAATGTCACCCTATTCAGCGTCAGTTTAATATGCTGAAGCATCTATATGCATACTTGTGCATGAAATATTGTCACAACGAAATTCCGGCAGGGACCTTTAGCGATTCTTTGTTTTTTTATATTATTTGAATTTTATGCTTCAATCAGAAATGTTTTAAAATTCCCGTATATCTGATAATATGGGAACGGTATCAAGCAAAACAAAAATGTTTTCTAGCAACAACAAAAAAACTGTGTCTCTCCATTAGCTACTAGATTTTTGCAGAAAATTTTCTACCAAATATTCCTATTGAGTTCATCTGTGATTTTCTACGGAGTGACACTCTTCGACACTTTTGTGTAAATATCGATTAAAATTTGCCTATTTTTCACGGGAAGGAATAAAAATCGGCAGCGAAATTCATAAATTCTGAGAGTTGCAAAAGAAATAGGGGATGAAAAAGAAGATAACCTTTTTATAAGAATCTGGAAGATTTCTTCTAACATGATTTCCTGCATTGTTCACGCGGGATTTCTGCAAGAATCTTTGAATACATTTACTGCTGTACAATGATTAATGAATGATTCATTTTGACACGTTTGGTTTTACTGAACTTATATTTTTTTTTTTCATTGAAAGATTGCAGAGGAGCACTTTCGTCGGGAATACGCTTTGACTCATTGCTTATTTTTTGCAATAACACAAGTTGAAAATATACATACATCTACAGAGAAAGCCGTTTTGAAGTCCCAGAAAAAATTATATTCATTTTCAATCATTCTCTATCCAAAATCTGAGTCTTTCCAACCGATTCAAAGAAATGGCAGTATTATTTCTTACGTAATGGATGATTCACTGAGGCGGAAATCAATTTTAAGGCTTTCATTATTTTTTTGTCATGGCTCTCATTGGTTCCAGAAACGAATTTCATCCAAAATTCGGTTGAAGAGGTCTTTCTTTTCATTAACTGCTCATTCCATTTTTATTGACTGTAGGAAAGCCTCAAGCAACAGATGTCCGTTATTAAAAAAAAACAATAAAGAAGAATACTTTAGTTTTATTACGCGCGAAACTTTCTTCGTTTTTTTGCGTTTCCTGAGGAAGGGAAATCCTAAAAATTAATTTGAAGCGCTCAAATTCCTTCCTTGATTATTTTCTGGATACAATTTCTGAACGCGAATAATTCACATTATCAGGGTCGTCGCCATATTTGCAAGCCGGAACGTTGACATCGGCGCCGAAAACGTCCTCGTCTTTGAGGGTCGGTTTTGAGGCGGACCACGTCCGCCATCGCACTACTTCAGACAATGGAGATGAAAATGACGTTGACGAGGAGGACGACGGGATAAGCGACTACGTCATCATAGGGGTCTGCGCCGGGATCGTGACTCTCATCTACGTCGTGGCTGTGTTCGTGTACGTGAGAGTGCGACATCTGCGCAGGTTGAGAAGACTCGATGAACAGAGCTCCTTGGAAAAGGCCGCTAGGAGACAACAGGAGCAGTTCTCCAGGTTCGATTGGCACATTTCTCATTCATTTTGCTAGACGGAAAACGCCGAAACGCGTGACTGTTGAGGAAAACAGCGGAATTGTATTGAACAATCTGGTTACACATTTTAAATGCTATTTGTGTTTTGACAGGTCGAATGAGAGCATGGATGCGTCCAGAAAGAGTCCACTTTTGGCGAACAAAGAACACAATCCTGTGTTGAAATCTGGTCTCTTATCCGGTGTCAGGTCAGCAAGGTTGACCCAGAATACAGTCCAGGTTAGTTTCCAAACAGTAATACAGAATAACTTGCGACGATATTGGATTTACTGATTCATAAGCATTGTGGACCGCATTTAAATGTTCATGAAATTATTTTCTGCAAAACCCTGGTGCAACATAGTAGTGTACAGTATTTTGTAGCCGTTACAGGCTACAAAATGGCACCAATTTTCACTATGAATGTAGGTGAAATTATTCGTTAATGCCGTGACTTACGCGTTTGCTTATAGACAATGTCATGTGTTCGTCGTGTGCTCCATTTGTGAATTTCCGGTAGTTCTCGAGACATTTTTACCAGAGAAATTCTTGCATTCCCACTTTATTTCCGAAAATTTTCATCAGTAAAAATTGAAAATTGCAATGGGGACCCAAAATGCGGACTCAATTACTGATTCTCAAGCAGCTGTGTCTATATCAGTTGAACATTTGCATGTTGAATCACATTTTCCTATATACCTCATCGGGCATTTTTTTATACAGTACCTTCCCGTGATTGTCAACAAATTGGAAAAGTCCCTCAAATTTTCAATCAAAATGTTTTTCTAAACTTTTAAACACAGAAAATAACTGTGAACATATTTAAAAACTCTAAAAGAAATTATCACAAAATTAGCTTGTTTTTTTAATTGCGAATTACAGTAGTTTGACAATAAAACTAATTTTTCAATTTTTTTGAACATGAATAAACTGCAGCTCTATTTTATCAAGAAATGTCGAAATTTAGAATAAATAAAAAATTTTAGTTCTGTAGAAATAATGAAAAGTTGTACATATCTATATAAATATATTGTCCAGCTGTCGGGCAGATTTTTTTCTAAGTGTTCTGAATCGTCTTTATGATGGGGCTTCCATTCGTCGTCTCCCACTAAATTGTATATTTTCTGTACGCGTCCGATGTGTAGAATATTAGCTTGTTAGAAAGCGTGACAAAATGCAAATATTGTAGTCATGTTTGGGCTTTCCAGGGACTTCGTCAACACATGCAAGAAGCCAATGCCGAGGAAGCTAAACGGGCCGAAACCGGATCCGGCAAATCCCCGCAACTCTCTCATCAGCATGAGCAAAAAGGAAAGGATTCAGCATCACTAAGCCCAAACACGCGGGAATTCGCAAAGAATCCCGGAAACAAGGATAAAATCCGCGACCCCGCCGGAACCGAGTCCACCCCGAAAGTAAACAAAAACAGGAGTCCCGTGACCCCCTTGGGCTCTGACGACGGCGGTGAACACGACTATGGAGACATTGACGACGATGACGAAGAAGCGATGAATGCAAATGAGACCTCACAGCCCTTGAAACGGGTCAACGGGAAGCTGTTCTTCAACCCGGCGTTCTTTGAACCAGAAAATCTTGCGGTAAGTCTTCTTATTGGGAAATGAGGTCACACAAACTCATATATTTTACGAGCAGTGCTCCAATTTTGGCATTGAGATGAGTCTAGGATGCCGCTGCTAGAGTCTCTCGGTCACACACCGTAAACCTAGTTTTTGTTTGTTTTATTCATGGAAATATTTACCTCAGCTGGCATTGGCTTGATTTCCGCATTTTTTTAAAGAATTCGATGACAGTCAAGCTTTCAAAAGAAATGTATCCTTATAGAGAGGACGGGCAAATTTAAATTTCCTCAAAATATTTTTGAAATGTAAAGAGGAGAACTTTGGTGATTTGGGGGCAGTTTGGTCTAATTTTAAATTTCACATTGAGCAACATCTGCGGAAACCTGGATAGTAGGTATCTTATTTTTGCTCTCAAAATATTTCTGAAATTCGTGGGGGAAAATGCATTGCTCTGAGAAAGTTACAAGACACTTCAGTCCTCTCCTATCTTAAGTTTCTGAAAGAGCGACATCTGCTGAAAAATTGAAAAGGTTTTCTTTGTTTTTTATTCGCGGAGTACAGTACTTGATAAATTTTTAAAGAGGAATTTGCTGTCCATAGAATTTGCTGGTCGTTTTGGTCCTATTCTAAAAATCTCGAACAGTGACATCTATCGGGAATCTAAATATTTCGCTTCGTTTGTTTTTGTCCTGGAAATAATCAATTCAAATGTGTTTCAGTAAAATGTCGGCCCCAATTTGGTCGTACCTTCTCTTAAATTTATGAAAGAGCGACATCTTTTGAAAGCCTGAAAAATGGGCGTACGGTATTTTATGTTTGCTTTCTGAGTACAGTAGTTTTGACATTTGCAAATAAAGCTATGTTATCCTTATTTCACTAGAAATACAAGAATTGGTGAGTCTTAAATAAATTCTTACTATTACATCTAACAGCAAGTTTATTACCAACCTCAAGTCTTGAGACAACAATTCTTATCCTGGTCTTAATTGATATCTTCCACATGCCTTGCGGGCCAAAGGTATTTTAGAAAGTCCAAATGAAAGTATACGCCAGGATCTTTGTTCGTGTACGTGAGAGTGCGACATCTGCGCAGGTTGAGAAGACTCGATGAACAGAGCTCCTTGGAAAAGGCCGCTAGGAGACAACAGGAGCAGTTCTCCAGGTTCGATTGGCACATTTCTCATTCTTCTCGCATGACGACTTTGACGAGAAACGCGTGATGGTGGAGGAAAACAGCGGAATTGTTTTGAGTATTCTGGTTACACATATTTTAAATGCTGATTTTCTTTTGACAGGTCAAATGAGAGCATGGATGCATCCAGAAAGAGTCCACTTTTGGCGAACAAAGAACACAATCCTGTGTTGAAATCTGGTTTATTATCCGGTGTCAGGTCAGCAAGGTTGACCCAGAATACAGTACAGGTTAGTTTCCAAACAATAACACGAAAAAAATTTGTGACGATATCGGATTTACTGATTCATAAGCATTGTGGACCGCATTTAAATGTTCATGAAATTATTTTCTGCAAAACCCTGGTGCAACAAAGTAGTGTATTTCATAGCCGTTACAGGCTAAAAAATGGCACAACATTTCAATATGAGTGTAGGTGAAATTATTCGTTTATGCCGTGACTTACGCGTTTGCTTAAAGACAATGTCATGTGTTCGTCGTGTGCTCCATTTGGGAATTTCCGGTAGTTCTCGAGCCATTTTTATCAGAGAAATTCTTGCATTCCCACTTTATTTCCGAAAATTTTCATCAGTAAAAATTGAAAATTGCAATGGGGACCCAAGATGCGGACTAAATTATTGATTCTCAGACAGCTGTGTCTATATCAGTTGAACATTTGCATGTTGAATCTCATTTTCCTATATAGACCTCATCAGGCATTTGTTTATACCTTCCCGTGATTGTCAACAAATTGGAAAAGTCCCTCAAATTTTCAATCAAAATGTTTTTCTAAACTTTTAAACACAGAAAATAACTGTGAACAGATTTAAAAACTCTAAAAATCACAAAATTAGCCTGTTTTTTTTATTTCGAATTACAGTAGTTTGACAATAAAATTAATTTTTCACTTTTTGTGAGCATGAATATACTGCAGCTCTATTTTATCAAGAAATGTCGAAATTTAGAATACATAAAAAATTTAGTTCTGTAGAAATAGTGGAAAATTGTACATATCTATAGAGACATTATTGTCCAGCTGTCGGGACAGATTTTTTTTTTAAAGTGTTCTTTAAAGTCGAATCGTCCGTATGATGGGGCTTCCATTCGTCGTTTCCTACTGATTTGTATATTGTATTTTCTGTACGCGGCCGATGTAGAATATGAGTGTTAGAAAGCGTGACAAAATGCAAATATTGTAGTCATGTTTGGGCTTTCCAGGGACTTCGTCAACACCTGCAAGAAGCCAATGCCGAGGAAGCTAAACGGGCCGAAACCGGATCCGGCAAATCCCCGCAACTCTCTCATCAGCATGAGCAAAAAGGAAAGGATTCAGCATCACTAAGCCCAAACACCCGGGAATTCGCGAAGAATCCCGGAAACAAGGATAAAATCCGCGACCCCGCCGGAACCGAGTCCACCCCGAAAGTAAACAAAAACAGGAGTCCCGTGACCCCCTTGGGCTCTGACGACAACGGTGAACACGACTATGGAGACATTGACGACGATGACGAAGAGGCGAATGCAAATGAGACCTCACAGCCCTTGAAACGGGTCAACGGGAAGCTGTTCTTCAACCCGGCGTTCTTTGAACCAGAAAATCTTGCGGTAAGTCATTATTATTAGGAAATGAGGTCACACAGACTCATGTATTTTACGAGCAGTGCTCCAATTTTGGCATTGAGATGAGTCTAGGATGCTGCTGTTGGTGTCTCTCAGTCACACACCGTAAACGTAGTTTTTTTTGTTGTTTTTTATTCATGGAAATATTTACCCCAGCTGGCATTGGCTTGATTTCCGCATTTTTTAAAAGAATTCGATGACAGTCAAGCTTTCAAAAGAAATGTATCATTGTAGAGAGGATGGGCGCATTTAAATTTCCTCAAAATATTTTTGAAATGTAAAGAGGAGAACTTCGGTGACATGAGAATTTGGGGGGCAGTTTGGTCTAATTTTAAATTTCACATTGAGCAACATCTGCGGAAACCTGGATAATAGGTACCTTATTTTTGCTCTCAAAATATTTCTGAAATTCGTACGGAAAAAATGCATTGCTCTGAGAAATCACAAGGCACTTCAGTCCTCTCCTATCTTAAGTTCCTGAAAGAGCGACATCTGCTGAAAAATTAAAAAGGTTTTCTATGTTTTTTATTCGCGGAGTACAGTACTTGATACATTTTTAAAGAGGAATTTGCTGTCCATAGAATTTGCTGGTCGTTTTGGTCCTATTCTAAACATCTCGAACAGCGACATCTATTGGGAATCTAAATATTTCGCTTCGTTTGTTTTTGTCCTGGAAATAATTAATTCAAATGTGTTTCAGTAAAATGTCGGCCCCAATTTGGTCGCACCTTCTCTTAAATTTATGAAAGAGCGACATCTTTTGAAAGCCTGAAAAATGGGCGTACGGTATTTTATGTTTGCTTTCTGAGTACAGTAGTTTTGACGTTTGCAAATAAAGCTATGTTATCCTTATTTCACTAGAAATACAAGAATTGGTGAGTCTTAAATAAATTCTTACTATTACATCTAACGGCAAGTTTATTACCAACCTCAAGTCTTGAGACAACAATTCTTATCCTGGTCTTAATTGATATCTTCCACATGCCTTGCGGGCCAAAGGTATTTTAGAAAGTCCAAATGAAAGTATACGCCAGGATCTCACGCAGAGAGGCAATGATAAAGTGTATTCTCAGTGCGCACACAACAGTCAGTCGTGAAAGCTCAGGCACAAATGCTGAGGAGTATAATGTTGCATTGTAGTTTACAGAGCCGTAATGGTCAGCCAGCAGGTTGCTCAACTTGTTGGCTGACCCAAAAATAATACAATATTCATAGACGCGGTAAAAGAGAGACAGCGACGATCTTCCTCATTGGCCTTGGTACAGTTATTTTAAGCTGAACCCTTTTTTGGAAGGGAATAGAAAGAGGAAAACACATGGGGAAAAAACACATGAGGCATGCGTCACGCACAGCCTATAAAAACAATATTCGATCACAGCTAAGTTGCACTCAGGTTTTGAAAGATGCTTTGGTTGGGCCTCTCCCATCTTACGTTTCTGAAAGAGCGACATCTGCGGAAACCTGAAAAATCTTGTTCAACTTCTAGGCGCCACCACCAGGTGCGATAGAATTCCTAAACCGCGTTCGGGAAATGATGGCGTTGGCCAAGAATCGGATGGACTCCAAGAGATACGAGCCCAGTTTACAAGAGATTCCTGAGGAAAGCTCTTACGAATCACTGACGAATGTGGCTGCTGCAATGTCCACCCCAGGAATGGACACCATGTTGAACGGCGCATTTGACAACCCTGCTTTCACCCTGGAGGCCAGTGCTGCCGAAATCCAGTCATTCCTCAAGCTGTCCGACGGCATCTTGCGGAACCCAAGAGCCTTTGCTCCAATGTAAGCTGTTCTGTCTCTATTTTTTACGTCGTATTTGGATCTCAGCTGCGAAATTTCCTAATTATTTTCGAGAAGTTTACTCAGAAAAACCCGTATACTGTGCAATATTCCCCATTCATTCACAATCATTGAGCATTGGGAAATTGAACTCTGATGGACCCATTATAAAAAATTTTGAATGACTGCGGCTGGAAATATCCCGCATTTTTCAGTCCAAGTGAGCATTTTTATTAAATGGTTCACGCATTTGTCAATCAGCAACCATTTTGGCAACTTATACAAGACTCAAGGTAATTGGCCGGGTTCAATATTCAAGTGCTGTAATAATGTATCAAGCGCTGACGAATATGGGTTCGACAGAAAAGTTCACCAAATAAATTTTCAGGCCGAATTTTCTCTGCATATTACTTGCCATAATATCGGATTTTTGTCAAGTCAATAAAATAAGGGAACCCCTGGAAAAAGGGGTTCAGCTTCTGAGCATTTGCCTTTTCAAATGTGGCTGTTGAGTGTGTCAAAAATATTCCTGGTCACCTACCATAAATTTTGGGTAAACCATAAACCAAGTAAAGGTGAAATACAGTATCTTTAAAAAAAACTTTAAAAAAATTCAAGAGACCAGAAAATTTTCATCGTAGTGATAATTTCGTTAGAGAACCCCTAAAACATTGGAAAAATAACTAAACAGGACCCGAAAAATCTGTTCCCCAGAGAAAATAATTGTAGACAAGATTGTTGGATAGATTATAGACCTAGTCTATCACTATAATAAATGTTTATGATTGAGAATTACAAGCACAGATTTTTTCAAGCTGGGTAGATGTCATCATAGCAGCTGCATAACAAGCTACATTTATTTTATTACCATGTTTTTATGAACTCACTTTCTTGTCTGTTTGTTTGTCCGGATCAAATTTTGCAACTCAAATTTCGCTCACTTCCCAACTAGCTAGCAAGCTGAAACTTTCAGGATAGCTTAGAAACTGATTGCTGCCGAAATCCAGTCATTCCTCAAGCTGTCCGACGGCATCTTGCGGAACCCAAGAGCCTTTGCTCCAATGTAAGCTGTTCTGTCTCTATTTTTTACGTCGTATTTGGATCTCAGCTGCGAAATTTTCTAATTATTTTCGAGAAGTTTACTCAGAAAACCCCGTATACTGTGCAATATTCCCCATTCATTCACAATCATTGAGCATTGGGAAATTGAACTCTGATGGACCCATTATAAAAAATTTTGAATGACTGCTGCTGGAAATATCCCGCATTTTTCAGTCCAAGTGAGCATTTTTATTAAATGGTTCACGCATTTGTCAATCAGCAACCATTTTGGCAACTTATACAAGACTCAAGGTAGTTGCCCGGGTTCAATATTCAAGTGCTGTAATAATGTATCAAGCTCTGACGAATATGGGTTCGACGGAAAAGTTTACCGAATAAATCTTCAGGCCAAATTTTTTCTGCATATTACTTGCCATAATATCGGGTTTTTGCCAAGTCAATAAAATAAGGGAACCCCTGGAAAAATGGATTCAGCTTTTGAGCATTTGCTTTTTCAAATGAGGCTGTTAAGTGTGTCAAAAATATTCCTGGTCACGTACCACAAATTTTGGGTAAACCATAAACCAAGTGAAGGTGGAATACAGTATCTCTAAAAAAAAAACACAATTTTAATTCAAGGGACCAGAAAAAATTCATCGTAGTGATAATTTCGTTGTAGAGAACCCCTAGAACATTGGGAAAATAACTACACAGGACCCGAAAAATCTGTTCCCAGAGAAAATAATTGTAGACAAGATTGTTGTATATATAATAGATTATACAGCTAGTCTATCTCTATAATGAATGTTTATGATTGAAAATTACAAGCACGCTGGGTAGATGTCACCATAGCAGCTGCATAACAAGCTACATGTATTTTTATTTTTCTACTCCTCAAACATTTTGGGTCACCACTGAGCCCCTCTATTGACTTTTTTTACATTTCTGACGGTTGTTAATCTTCGCTGAACAAAAAATAATCATCCTATTTTTTCCTTGTAAATACTGTATTCAGAACGGCAGCACTGAATGGAGATGAGGATAAGGTGCATCGGTGGCTCCAGGAAATCTGCAACCACGCTTCCTCAGGCGCCATGTCCGAGGAGTACCCCAACAGCTACGACTCCGGCGTGTCCACCGGTGATGGCAGTCCTGACAGCCTCAACAGCTCAGTGGACAAACAACATCAACAACAACAGCAACATGCCCTACTTCCCCGTGCCCAACACCCACTGCCCGCAGTACCATCCACAACACCCGCGAGACTCGTCGTCGCTGCACCAGGCGTGCGACCACCGCGGAAACGGAATCCGAAATACGAGACCACACCGGCACCACAGCGACCATCACAGTCTCACCTGCAGCAACCATTCCAGCCGACTCTCGGCAGCAGAGGCTCCATGAAACTCGGCACCACGCGTTCCAGCGTGGACAGAGTCAATGAAATCTTGTCAGAAGCAGAGGCCAAGATGCCGAAAATGACTGCTTCCGGTGTGGACCCGGATGCCAGGATCAAGATCTGCGTCCGCAACGACTCAACGACCATTCAAAACGCCGACCAGCACTTTCGGAAATTCCTGCCGGAAGGCGAGGAAATCACTGCTTCCAATCCCGTTTTCAGACTAGAGAAACCCTCGATTGTGGATGCTTCTTCATTATTATTAGCATCATCAGCAGCAGCAGCAGCTGCTGCTGCTTCAGAAAGCAAGGCCGTGTCTGAAATCTACGTCAACAACACGTTCGAATCCGACTCTTCGCAACAGTCGACCCTGAAATCCTTTCGTTTCCAGCGCTCGAATTCCATCGGCGCATTCGCTTCAACTGGAACTTGTAAACTCATGATCGAAGTGCCTGAGGCGTCTGAATCTGAGCCAGAGTCTCGTGACAACACCTTGTCTCGCACCAGTTCTAATAAAGCACATGCCGGGAAAATCCGCAGGAAACTGTCCAGGAAAGAAAGCTTCCTGGACTCTCTGGAACGTCCCAAGCATCACTCCAAGTTGAGCCAGAAGCCGAGCATCGTGCAGGACTCTCTGGAACGTGCGAGTACCAAACGCAGAGATGGCAGCACCAGCAGTGGTGGATTGTACAAGACCTTTGGGGACTTCAAACGTCCCAGTGAACCCACTTTGTCGGAAGAGTCTGATGCGTACAATCCCATAGAGATACGGTCAGTTCCCGCGACGGAATCCCCGCACAATTCCGGCGTGTGGCGAGAAAACTCGTTCCTGCTGCCGAATTACTGGCAGCGGAGTTTCAAGAGTCGTCATCTGCCGAGACCGCCGTCATCATTCGCTCCGGATTCCTTGCACGAAGACGAAGACACTGTCGATGACGACGCGTCGACGGTGTCGGGGTCTTCTGTCTTGAGAAGTCCTCATCATCAGCAGCAGCAACAGCAGAGCCACGAGATTCTGCGTCGCGTGGACACGATTGCCAAGGACCTCAATGGGGCGAACGGAGGCTTGTCGCAGGGCATGTTGATCGCGCTGAATCTGCGTTCGAAACTCGTTGAGAAGTACGGCAAGGACTTTGAGAAGCGGTACTTTGGGGCGAATGCGACTGCGGGCGACAGCTTGCGGACGCGACTGAAGAAACTGGTTCGCACTGAAAGCTGCGACTCAATTCTCAAGGACTCTTCTGGGATTAAGAAATACAAGAGCGTGGACGAAGTGTTGGCCCAGCTAAAGCAGTGCTCTACCATGTGCTCCACGCAGGATTCGAATGGAGGAGCAGTTGATCCAGCTGGGATACATCTCGAGCCTCATCTAGATGTCACTTCCTTGGCGAGAAAGGGAGCCAGTGCGCCCTCTGGCGCAGGCAACAACAATAAGTCTCAGACGCAGAATATTCGACTCTTGTTGCAAATGCTTGAAGATCAAAAAAACAAGCCGCAGCAACAAGGTTCTGGTGTTGTTCCCAATAACACGGCGATGAAGCAAAATGCGACAGACACTCTTGCGGGAGCTAATAAAGTAACACCAGGTGGCGCTTGGAGGATCCCTTACTCTTCGCCCAACAATTGCTGACATGTCCTGTGTTGATATTCTGTGGAATTTCGTGGTTGTTTTTTAATAAATGCTGGTGTTTGTGCAGAAAGTTTAATCTGCCTTTTATTTACAAAATCTCTGAGAGTCAAAGATTCTTGCGTCAAAATGCTAAAAATAACTATTGTAATATGTATGCTGCATCAGAATACAGCTGTGTGTACTGTACTTGCACCTAATGGATCAGAAAACATTCCACCAGTTTCTTTGAGAGAAGTATCTGGAACAGCAGGAAATATCTAGTAAGAAATTCAAAATTAAATGTATTTTCATTAATGATAATAAGCAATTATACTGTTTTACGTTGTTTTCCTCAACTTACGGCAAAATTTGCTTAGAAATTCTGATGAATAATGGACAGATCAATAAATCCTGTTGAGAACATATTTGGCATATAATGTGGGTTTTTATGAATGAACTTAAAACTACTGTATATGTGCATTTTGGAATGAAGGTTTTGCTGTTCAATAAAAAAAGGCTGGAAGTAAGTTTGGACCCAGATATGTAGAACACTTCATTTGCTCCTCAAGTTTCCTTTCGCTTGATCATCAACAACAGCATCAACAATAATAACACGCATGCCACCACGAACAAAGAAAATGCTAATTTTTTCCGAGCTCTGATTTACATGATAAAACCCTGGGTTTGCCCAAATCTCTCTTTGTCTCAGTGTTTCCCGCTGTCATTTGTGGTGTGCAGTTTGAATTTGCTGGCTCCTTCAGTGGACCTGATCTGAGCAGCAGCAGCTGGAGGTGGCAGAGGCAGAGTCTGGGGCTTCACCTGGCTCGGGATCGTGGGTTTGTTGCCCACAGCTGGCCGGGACATGATTTCGTGGATCCACTCCAAGTAGGATGTGACCTTCGCATAGACCCCGGGCACTTCCGCCTGCCCGCAGCCGATGCCCCAAGAGGTCACGCCTGCCAACACGTAGCGCCCATCTGCTCGGGCACACACCAGAGGTCCACCACCGTCACCCTGCAAATTCGTGGGCATAATTCAGTTTAATGAATGCAGTACTGTAGTGTACACTTGTGTCGCAAGTATAGCCCTGTACAGTAGTTTGATAAGTATTGTAGTTTCATGAACACAGTATTGTACTGCAGTTTCAAAAATCGAGTAGTTTTACAAGTATAGTATAGTTTTATACATATATATTGTGGTTTCACAAGTACCATGCTTCTACAAGTACTTTAGTTTCATAAGCACAGCAGTTTCATGAACAACACTGTAATTTTACGATTACAGTAGTTTCAGAGGTGCAGTAGAGAAGTACAGCATTATAAAAGTGCAGTAAAAAAGTTTTATATAAATCGACAGCAGTAATCTTCCAAGTGCAGTACCATACTTTTAAAAGTACAGCATAATACCTTATTACAAGTGCAGTACAATAATTTAACAAGTACCGTAAATAGTGGATTTACAAGTACAGTAGTTTCATGAGTATAGTAGTTTCAGGAACACTACTGTAATTTTAAAAGTCCAGTAGTTCCGCAAGTGAAATACATTAATACTGTAGTTTCATTTACATGGTATTTTTCAAGAACTGTACAGTATGCTGTAGTTCCATGATCAAAGTACTATATTGTGATTTTAAAAGTAGTTCCATGAACAAAGTACTATACAGTCAACCCCCATCTAACGGACTTAATTCGTGCAACCAACAAGTCTGTTACACAAGAAGTCCTTTAGAGTTTAGACAAATTCAATCATATAAAAAAATTGAAACTTTAAATTGTCAACACTATTTTTAAAACAACAGAAGTCTGTTTGGCAGATTTTGTCTGTTGGGCAGGAGGAAATGCTGCCTGCTGAGCTGGTCTGTTAAGCAAAAATCCCTTATACAGGAGGTCTGTTAGGCGGGGGTCACTGTATTGTGATTTTACAAATACAGTAATTTCCCAAGTTCAAAAGAAAGCTGTTGGGAAACATACATTAGTTCTATAGAAGTGCAGTGCCATTTGGATCTTTAAAACTTTAATTTCTGCTGAAATAATTGGCTGATCACTTTATTATTTTTGCTTGGTATGAAGAATGAGGGTGATGATGATTCTAGACACTAAGGTCTGAAATGTGCATGCATCTCTATTATACAGTATCTACAAAACTTCGATCAATTGATGATCAAAATTCCATTCAAATCTTTTTCACACGCCAAGACTTATAAGAGTGATAATTGAAGAAAAAAAACTCGTAAAATGTACATACAGTGCATGCGTCTTTGTTGATCTCTCCACCAGCGCACAGGAAGTTATAATGCAGCCGGAAGTAGTTTCCGAGTCGTGTATTCCTCAGCATCCTCTGGCATTCAGCGTGTGAAACAATCGGGACGTCGACCTTTTTCATCACATGCTGATAATTACCTAGAAAGGTAGATCAATTCCGGTCAATTCAACTGGAAAATTGACGGCAAAAATGAATTTGGGAAACACATAATCTCAAATGCTTCCTTGTTTACTCATTGAAAGTTGTAATATTGTAAAATCAATGTATATCCGGAATTCCCACCTTACATTCGATGAACCGCGCAATCCACTGATTATATGTCCAAATTTTAATTTGATCGCAGGAAAGAATTTATGGTAGTCTTCTTTTCTAACTATGAATTTCGAATTCAGGGCAACATGAGAGTAAATAAAATCAAAGATGAAAACACAGAAGCTAACGATCTACATTAAATTTACACCTTTTTGACGTCTCTTAAAATAAAAGTTTGTGATGAAACTGATGGGCAATATGGGTTTGGAGTTCGCAAAAATTTTTTCAATATTGTACTGAAATACAGAGCATCAATTTATAATTTTTTTCATCACTGATTTTGTTCTAGTCCTGAATGAGAAAGATCAAAGCTCAAATTTTCTGAGCGTCAGGAATTTGAAGATTATTGTCTTGAGCATTGCGTTCATCAACATAAATGTTGGCAAGAATTACAGAGTAATTTGACTTTGACTGCTTTCGGAAAGATCCCTTAAATACTTGCATCAGCAATCAATATTTTAATTTCCGTGCCCTGAAACTTTGAATACATGGCTGTAAGGATTTCTGCAATTGGATGTTAGGCCGTTTTCAACTTGAAACTTGAGTTTTTCCTTGATCATTTCCAGCCAATTTCGCCGCAAAATTTTGCATCTATAGTATCTGCGTGCGTTTTGCAGCATAAAAGTGGGTTTTTTTTAACGCTCTTAAAGCAATTTTTCGGAAATATTTTTTCTTCGCGTTAAAAATAAAAGAAATGTACTGCTGAAGAATAAAATTATGTTGCAATAGGATTTTAGGCCGTTTTCAACTTAAAACTTGAGTTTGTCAGAAGCAATAAAAAATCCTTGATTATTTTCAACCGATTTCGCCGCAAAAGATATTGCACCTTGTACCTGTGCGTGCATTTTGCAGAATAAAACTGGCGTTTTACGCTCTTTCAGCAATTTTGCGGATATATTTAAAATATGCATTGAAATCAAAAAGATGAAATAAACTACTGAAGAATAAAATAATTGGGAGGGGGGGGGAACGAGGTAAATTTACCAAAGAAGGCGTCTTTTCCCCAGCCAGTCGCGATGCAGCGACGTCCGGCGTAAACGTCGGCGGGATTGTCGGGCAAACACGCAGTGTTGATGTGATGGTCTCGCACAACGGGTCTGTTCAGCACAATAACGGCAATATCGTTGAACTCGGGTCCGGATTTGTACTCGGGGTGCAGGACTATTTCAGATGGACGATGGTCCACGTATGCCAGGGGTTCCACTTGATTGTTGATCTCCCACTCGCCCAATCGCACCTCCAACTCGTGCACGGTGTAGCTGGAAAAATTAAATAGTTTCGAGAGTCATTTTGTCAATTTATGACACACAGCTGAACCCAGGACGACTTGGAAGAAATAACAGTTGATCAGATAAGCCACGGATTATTAGAAGATGATCAATCGATTTTTTTTTTAGTCCCACGAATTTTTTTTTTGTACAATTTCCCCATATTGAAGCATTTTTACACGGAGTGCCTGTATAAAGAAAGACCCAAACAGCAAAAATGTAAGGGGGAAAACCAGACTCGCATTACGACATTCTTTCGCACAGCAACATTTTCTGTCTCTAAAAACTTGCAAAATTGTAAAAGTTTCAAACTAAAACTTGTGAATTTTTTAAGAAATCGATTAAAAAGACAAAGAAGAAAGCCTACTTTTACATGTTTTTGTCTTTAAAATTTGAGAAGCTCAGCATGAAGAAGATTTATCAAGATGACTTCATTCCCATGCTAAACAACATTTATTTCTTTGCTGAAAAAATTCAAAAAACTGTTTTTGTGTTGTGTAGTTTATTTAATAAAAATAAAAAAAACTTTTATGGTTTATCATGGTCCTTTGGTGAATGGCTGGAACTACAATAATTAAATCAATCACAATTCAATCTTGAGGGAAAACGTCTTTAACATAGGGAAAATTTGGCGCAACAAAACTCATCCACGATATGAGCAGGATAAATACATTATGCGGGGACCCACTGCATTTTTCGTTTACATTTTTTTTAATAAAATAATTTCCTGATTCTACTCATGCTTCAAAAACTACATAACGCCAGGATTCTTTCAAAATAATTTGTGCGCCCCTAAACTGCAAATATTTCCAAAGATTTTTACATTTTTGCAGTTTTGAAGTTCTTATTAAACATTTCGAGTCGTTCAGAAGCGCTTTAAATGCGAATCGAAGACTCACCATTTCAAATTATGCTTCACCATTTCAAAGATTTTTTACTGTACACGTAATTTCATGAGAACCTATATGAAATACGGGTCAGTTGAAACCTCCTCAATATTTATTTGCGCAATTCAATTGTTTAAATGTTGAGCGTATTCAAACTTTTGCTTACCTTCTTTATGTCTTTGATCAGTTCATGTAGTTCTAGTTTTGATCAAAAACGAGCTTTTGGTGTTTTTCTCGACAATAATATTTATACACGTCATTTCTTGATCAGCTTATTGTCAATGGAAACGGATTCAAAATTTTGAAAAAATTTCTAAAAAATGTTCGTTGTTTTTAAAATATGAGTGGGATGTTGAGCCTCATGTTCCAGCTCTAACACCACTAATATTTTTTTCAAATTTATCTCATCAAAGAAATTTCGCTAAACTTCTCGACAATAACAAAACCTGCTCCTCTATAAAATCCCCGCCACGCTTGATTCAATCAAAATGCTCCCAATATTTCACACATTATCATATTTTTGAAATCTTCAAAATGTTAGTGCAATATGTTTATATCCTCAGAGGTGACTCACTTTTTGACACAATGGGCGGCAGTGAGCAGGTGGCGGACGCCGATGAGCGTGGCGCCGCAGACAAACTGGGCTTCGGTCTTGTGACCGGGCTTCACTGGCCCCAGGTCGCGGTAGATCATGGCTTGCCACGGGAATTCGGCGAACCGGGCTTCGTTGGCTGGCAACAGCGACGGGTTCTGGATCCTGTCAATCAGCTTGTAGCCAGAGACGGCGATCCCTTCTGGGTTCCGCACCCCGCAGTGCTGGGGCACCGGTGGACTCGGGTCGCAGCAAATCCCGTACTGACTAGTGTAGCTGTCCAAGATGCAGCTCTGAGAAGGATTTCGTAAAAATTCCACGTGAAAATCATGCATTTGCTACACACCAGCGCGTTTGATTTCATTATTGTGGTATATACGAGGGTTCTAACAAAAGTTCTCGGAATAGAAATTAAAATGGCATATAATCGAGCTGAAAAAAAAATTATTCTTTCGGGAAAACATATTCTTTGGCACAAAAAAAATCAGCCCTGTTTGACAATTAAAATGAATAATTAAAATGGCGCTCGATTGTGCGCCATTTTAATTCCTATTCCGAGAACTTTTGTTAGAACCCTCGTATATATGCAGTACGAGCGTCTAAAACTAATGTCCTCGTCGTAATAGAATTTGAAACGGCATACACGAATATGATTGAGCTGAAAAACGATTAGTGCTCAGAAAAAAACAATATTTGGAACAAGAAGAACTGATTCAACCCTGTTTGACAATTTTATGTCTCTTTTTTTGTTGCAAAAGTCACCCTCGTAGCAGCTTTCTGCTCTTCACTCAAAATATGAGGCGCCCATCTTGCAGATTTTTTTGGCGTACCCCCGCTTTCCCTTCTGAATTCTTGAAATTGGCGAGGCATGAATTCTAATAAGGGTTGCCGCCATTATTTGATTATTAATTCCGCCATTTTCATCAGCAGCCGACACTTGGGGTGAGAATGAGGCGGTTGTATGACAATGCGGAATTACCTTCGAAGACCAGGAGGCAACCCTTCGAATTAATGCTATCTCGATTTCAAGAATTCTGAAGAAGAAGCTCGGCTATACTTCAGAAATCTGCGAAATCGGAGCTTCAATTTTTGAGTGAAGAGCAGAAAGCTTCTCTGGTGACTTCTGCAAAAAATTGGCTGATTTTGTTTTGCGTCAACTAATTTTTCCTCTCAACATTATGTTTCTCAACTCCATCAGATGCCTTTCCAATTTATATTTTAAATACTTTCAATATAGACCCCATTTTGCTGATGGTTTTGGGTCCATTTGTCAATGCGAAAGAAAAATAATAATGTTTATGCTCAGGCCGCAGAATTTGCTGACGTTGAAGGACTCAGCTCCTTGCAATTGAACAGATGAGATTTTCGTTCTCAGTGCTGTTGTTTGTCATTTGGCTGCTTGATATAAACCTCTGGGCAATATTTGTTAGATTCCAATTGCTTACTTAGCGGCGAGTTCAAATCTGTTCTTGGAAACTTCATAGGTAAAAATCAAAGCTAGTTTTCTTTTCATTCATTCCTGCGTAAATTGCGGGTTTTTAGCCTATATTCCCTGAAAAAATTCCAACCAAAAAACCATGAATGATTATTTCTTCTGAAATTTTAATGAATGAAACAAGCAGGCGTTTTGAAACGCCTGCCTGCTACAATAAAAAAAATGCATCAAAAAATTTTTAAACATAGGTGTAACTATAGAATGCATTACAAATGCATTAACAACGTGTTGCACAAAACTTTCTCAGTACACCACCAATAAAAAAGGGAAATTATGATGGCATTTCAGAAGAAGCTGGGCGTAACATTTACGTGTAACAAATGCTTTACGTAATGCGTAACTGTTACGCCCAGCCCTTCTCTTTACAAATTATCTGCCTATAAATTTGCTTGAATCATGAATGTGAAACGTTTAATTGTTCTCTCACCTTTGGTGGTCTTCTGGGGTCAATTTGACCAGTGCCGTCTGTCAGAATGCCCGGACATGTGGCATCATCAATGCAAACCTCTCCCTTAGGGCAAACTTCAACCGGTGGCTGACGACAGCAAATTGTCACTGTGGTGTTCACGTCGCCATCGAAAAGTCTTGCTCCCACAGTGCAGGTGCGCTGGAAATTTCATGTTTTAAATATTAAAAATGCTCAATGATGATACGAAAGGTCTGTTGAAGTGTGGATTGGGAAGTTTAGGATGGAAGTTGAGCAGCAGCAATGCAAGAAACAAAGAATGCTCGCAGCTTCTCCTTCCTATAAACAGCGCCGCGCTTCCTCGAGTTTTCCACCAACAGAGGCAGATGTCGCCTCAAATTAAAGGATAGTACCAAATTTTAAAAATGTTATGGACACCTAAAACTGCCACTCCCCTGACATCTCACATATGATGACAATCAAAATGGCTCATGATCTCAATGGGATTTAAGCCATATCGATTCTATGCTACACTTGGTGAAGATGAATACATGGAGGCGCACTTTGTCTGATAAAACAAAATGACAGGAAATCCCTCAATTGTATACGTATTTATGGAAAGCTAAATTCTGATT